TTCGAGAATTCCCGCAGCTATCGTCTCATATCTAGTTTGTACGTTACTCAATTGATATAAAATTCACTATGCTCTGACTTAATAAAATAAATAATAAATAACGCACACACTCAACATAGCCCCGCACTAGGGAAACCCTGTGTCGCGGGTGCCATGGACACACATATAGACAGCCACAAATTACACCCAAACTCACGAGAGAAATAAATGTAGGCCATACAAACATTTCTCCCGGCCCGGGAATCGAACCTGGGACCTCTGCGTGGCAGTCCGGCATGGTAACCGTTCGGCCACGGAGGCAGTTAGTGACTATATGAAGAAAAAGATGAAGGCAAGTGTGGATAAGGACGACCGCTAATATGCTGCTTTGACCAAACAAAAATAAAAATGGAGGCCTCGCAAAAGGAGGTTAAAGATAAAATTTTGCCAACAACAGCGTTTACTACGTGGATAAGAGTTCTTAAATTTACAATATACAAAATATAAAAACAATATCCCAACTATACTGATTACGCGATAATAATATAAGCATAACCCATACTTTAAAAACTGTTTGGTAACATACTTAAACTTATATATGTTTATACCACTAGTACCGTAACTATACACACACAACATATACATACATAACATAAAACATGACGAATTAAAAATTATAGTATATTAAAAAATAGCCGTTGCTAACAATAGTAGATTCTATTTCAGAATTTACCGAGAGATTAGAAACCCCGTAAGGCGCGAATTATGTTGTAATATATTTTGTTTGCGGCTTCAGACTGATACGTCCTACGTACACCTGAAATTGTTGTAGGCGGTAATCGTCAGATTCATAATTAGTTGCGCTATTCTGCAAAATTATGTAAGCGTGTATGTCTGTTCTTTGTAGTGGCGTGGTGTTCAATTTACATACGAACACGTCAGTCTCCCACCAGGGTTGGTTACCTTTACCCGCTACGCTCCTGGTATACTTTATTCGCTTCGTTCACTTGCGCCTGGTGGTAAGCGACACGCCTGTCCATAACAGATGCAGTGCCAATCAAAGCTTTACATCGCAAAAATCTGAGGCACTGCCACTGCGCCCTGGCCCTGGGACATAAGTTGAAATGTCCCAAATGCATGTAATTTCACCAGCAGCCCTACCCTTACTAACGGAACGCAGTAATGCTCACATTACTGCTTGGCGGTAGAAATAGGTAAGGTGGCAGTACTTCCATGGACAAACTCTTTCTCAAGGAGCTCTACTGCTATTACTATTATGCAATCGTACTCAATTTAAAGAATAATAATAGTAAATCTGATGCAACTAAAAGCACTGAATTTAATTTCTTTTTTAAATTTCTTTTCATGTTTGTGGTAAACAGTCAGCAAAATTTATTCTGCCTCCGTAGATTTCAAAAAAATAGGGTTATATGAAGTCCATAGAGACTCCAGAGAGCCGATGTGCCTTCTATAGGGCAATGGTGCTAACTTTCTGGAACATTCTACATCCTTCAACTCATCGACTGATTGCAGATGTTCAAAGGAAAATATTTAATAAAATTTCTGTCAAGTCTTTGCAGTGCTGTGGTTGCTCATAAAATGTATAAAACATACGTTTAGTACGGACACAGCTACGCTAGCTGTCGGGTGACATCCAGTCCTTAGGGTTCTGTAGGCACTTGAGGTTCGTTATATAAAGGATGCAAATAAACTTTTCTAATTGGCTTTGGCTTCTCGTTAAAAATGACCCATGATCCAAAAGGAAAGAAAATCAATGTTTTTTAATACTTACTCTTCCTGAGCAAGTCCTCTATGCACTTCTCTATATGAGCCATCCACTCTTCCTTTTCGGTGGCGGTGGCTGCGTACACAGCGAACGATTTTGACGCTGTGCGAATTAGCCAACCATTTCTGAATTCTGCAAATAAAATATATATGTATCATAATAATAATAAAATCAATAATTACTTAGTGTCAAACTAGGAAATTCCCTATATTATGAGTACTAGAGCAACGGAATTTATCCCGGAGCACTACCCACAACACAGAGACCAGGATCAATTTATAATAATAATAACGCACACAGTCACAGCCCTGCACTAGGGAAACCCTGTATCGCGGGAGCCGTGGACACATACATAGACAACCACAAATTACACCCAAACTCACGAGTGAAATAAATGTAGGTCATATAAATATTTCTCCCGGCTTGGGAATCGAACTCGGGACCTTTGCGTGGCAGTCCAGCATGGTCACCGTTCGACCACTGAGGCAGTTATAATTTATAAAAATTCTTTTATAAAAATGGTCCTCTTTCTTCTGATCTCGGGCTCACAGAGTTAGCCGCTGGGCCACCGAGATCGTCAACTATATAAGGTGTCCCACGGCTACGCCACATGGAGGGAAAATACCTTAATTACCGTAGATAGAATATTTTACTGAATAACAATGTAGCATGCTTTTGTCGCTGTATTAACTCATACACATTCCACTATAGGCACCAGTTAGTCTCGTTTAAGCAGTAGATATTATTGCAGGCTCAGTCATCAGTGGTTCACCAGATACCATAGTTGAGTGAATGAATCTAATACATTATTTCAAAAGCTCAAATGTACAAACCACTGATAACACATAGCTATAACAGCTTTAGTAGAGGCTATAAACCATAATTTTGATAGCAATGCATATGTAATTACCCAATGCAGCAACATTATCTTGATAATGTTAATGTGATTCATAAATACGGCTTTTCATTTCATTGACACGGGCCAAGCCAAGAAACCATATCTATGTGATTCATCACTACCATAGGCCGTGATAATGACTCATGTAATTTCATACACTGATTGTTTTAGGTAGTGTTTCAAAAAATATCTCGCTTGCTTCAATTTTAAATTCAATATTTACTGGCATTTAGAAATATGACAATACATAAAAATTTTATACTAAGTTTAGTACAATGAAATGAGAAATTATATTTGTGTCAAAAAAGACAGAAGATATTCGCACCCCTCATGCAAGAATGGCATAAGTGGTATGGCATAATGGAGCAATAAACATGTTTGACGTAATTCCACTTAAGCCATTCTTCCATGAGGGGTGCGAGTTACATGAGTAGTTGAAAATGAACAAACATTTTCGTTTATTTTGAAAGATGTATTACAATCTGTCTGCTGTCGTTTTATTTTTAACCCTCGAAGCAAAACGGGAGTTATAAGGTTGAAGCCTATGTTTGTGCGTCTATGGTACAGTAGCATTCAAATGGCTGCACCAATCTTAAAGTATTTTTTAAAGATCAGCTGTATTCTCAGCTAGTGTAGGAATCTCAATCAAAAATTAATATTTATTTCATTTCTATTTGTCTGACCGTATTGAAACTTAATATAGTACGGGAACCCGAATTGCCTGTGGTGACGACTTCCGTGGTTGAGTGGCTTGCACACTGGTTTTCATGATGCAGCCATCTCTGAGGTCCCGGTTTCGATCCCCGGCCGAGTCAATGTAGAAACTAAATTTTATTATTAACTCTAATATTTATTTATTTATTATTTTAATTTACCTTGTCGTGTTTCAGACCAATGGTTGGACATTTTAAACACGTTCGTCGTGATAGAGGCGTTAAGCAGCCGGAATGCCGGGTGACCTGTCGGCTAATCTAGGCTTTCATGGCGACATGTTGACTGTCCAAAATCGTCAACATGTTGGCTTATTAATGTGGAGTATCAGCTCATCAATTTTATTGCAAAACTCTTTTACACTCTTTAAAAACACTAATACTCGTCAACTATAGCTTTTAATACTAGACCACTGTCTATGTACTATTTAGGTAACAGTGTATTTTACTTTTTATAAATAAACAATAGTAAGAAGCACAGAAGTGTCTAGAATCACAATGAATGTGCTAGAAAATATAAGTAGAAAAGTCAGAAGCTAATACAGTATTTATAAATTACAAACTGTTCCTAAGCAGTGATAGTCCTGGGACCTAATTGTTTATCTTCACAGCATGACATTCAGAGTAAAATGTCAAATCTGACAAATTTCAAACCCACCTGCTCAATATCAACTACTGAAATTCCAGAATGACTTTTGAAAATGTTAGAGATTTTGTTGTTTAACATTAAGCTGATATTCAAGTTAAGACAGTTATGGGAACTATTAAGTTCCATGCAGAAACCCTGAGTTCAAGGAGCATGAAATGCAGGTACAAATTGAAACACATCTTCGAAAGTTTGTTTTTTTTTAAAGTGGCCAAAAAAATACTCACGTCCTTCATCCCTGAGAGACTCCAATTTAACTTCTTCAAGTGGAATAACGTGTTGTTTGTTATACTTTTTCTTATTCATCAAAATGTTGCCATAAACCAGGATGTCGTTGAACAGAAAGAACTGGCGTGCCTTGGGTTTCTTCCGGCACATCTTTGTTAGGACACCTTCCCCCACAAGAACCCTGCCTTGTTCTGCCAGAGGCTGAAAAATTGGGCATTTTATTAGTGCTGTGTTAGTGATCATGCACTTTGGATTACAAACAATAAAATATTTATTTTATTTTATTTAATGAACAAAGTTTCAACAGCATTTTCAAACTTATTTGACAAATGTGTTTAAGCAGTACAAAAGCCAATTACAGAAAGTCACTACTTATACAAAATGTGAAATAAGAAAATAAAAAACAGAAAAATAAAAAGGTTGTGATTAACTAATAATTTGTTTACTAAATGCAGCATGCTGATGAAATATTTCCGTATGTAAAAATCTTAGGTACTATTGTGATACATGCAAAAGTATAAGTTTAGACCAAGTTGGTAACATTTTTCTTCTGACGTTCTTTAAAAGGACACAATGCCAAAATACATTTTTCTAGTACTGTTTTAGTACTGTTCTCCCAATCACGGGCACACCAGCTCCAAGAATGTGTATTTTGAGCCATAACCCATATGATCACAGGTGCAGAGATGTGGAAACAAGCATATCAATGCTTGAAAGGCAAACATGGTAATAAGTAACACTTTTCAGTCACTTTTTGAGTCATATTGAGTTATATAATTATACCATTGGTATCAGAAACATTAGTTGATTCCAACAGCATTATAACTCAGTATGACCAAAAGTGTTGCTTAGCCCATTTTGCATTTGAAGCAACAATATGTATACAGGATTATTTGTAAAATAGTAACTACCTTGCAGATATATATTACTAACATCATAACCAATAATTTTTTTTCCGAGAAGCACAATACATTTACCAAAAGTTAATATTTAAGTTTTTATTTCAATCTGGCATTTTTTAGATCTGTGTTTGGTACTAAGGTAATAAGTTCAAACATGCAAGCATCCTCCTTGACGGCCCCCACCTGCACTCCTGCATTTAGACACAGTTATCACTGTTAGAGTGATCTATTTAAATATTTTTATTTGTATTCACTGGCCTAACTGTGCACAATATAGCTTTTAAAAAGAGTTTGAAGAATTACTAAAATTTGCGTTATTACACAATGCTTAGTTATCAGTTACTGATAACTGGAGGTATTTACTACAACCACAATTCTAGGATTGGTGGACTAAAGCACGTAAGTCAAAATCCAACATCATTCGTATAAATTAATGCATCTACTAGCTAAAGCACAATAGTCAAATTCATTTGTTACTTCATACATTTGTAACTTTATTCTAGAGGCATTTTTTTCAAATTTATCATTCTCTTCACATCTTTCAACACTATAAACAACACACAACAAAATATATAATTATATCGCACCGTTAATACTATAGTGTATTAACTCAAAAAGTGTATTTTCTCAGAATCTACGAAAAACTAATTACTCACTTCCCGTGAAAGATCTGTGTAAATTTTACATATTTAAAAAATAAAAGAGAAAAATCAATTTCATATTTTTGAATAAGGACTATTTTGGCCAGAACTAGCTCACATAAAATGTCTCTCATTTTGTGTTAAGTAGGTAACTAGATATCTCGGTTCATCCGAAGAACAGAGTCCGATGTGATTATATAGTGAAAAGAGAATAAGTACTTTACAAGAATAATTTCGTTATTCAAACTAAGGCCTATGTAAAAGTGTTTTGAGAATTTATATATCTTGTTTCGTTTTGGAAATATAAAATCGAACAATGGTCGATCTGACATCCACAGCGAACAAGAATGACAGAAATGTTTAGTATATTCCTGAGAACAAGTAGCCTTGCACATAGATCTTTGTTCTACGGATGAGTCGATCTTTTAGTTGTTTTTCACAATATTCTAATGATGGTTTTATTGAAGTGTAGAGAATCAAATTTTATGTTCAACAATGGTATAATCTTGAATATCACATATTTTAAGTAATAACGCTATTGTAATAGCAGTGTGATATATTTACTAATGAAGCACGTTTTTTACTTATGTGCTTCAGTCCGCCGACCCTAGAATTTTAGGTATTTAAAATGTATTGTATTTTTATTTTATTTATATAGTTAAATCAAATTTTTGGTCGATATGCTTCCATCGTTTTACATGATGATTCTGCCAATGTCAGTGTTGGAAAACTCAGTGCTATGTTGCGAGAAGTTGACAGTTTTTGAAAAGTTTTTGAGGTTATTAAGAGTACTATAATGAGACAAATTGATAATTATTGAAAGTTTTCTTCAAGTCTGAATTATTATTTGTTCAGTATTAAGTTGGAATAATGTGGTCAGTATAAAAAATATTTGTTTTTTATAAATTGCAATTACAATTACAATTGCACTGATTAAATTTTAAAAGTACAAAAATGACACAGACCATAGAGCACTAAAGCAGTTTTAAACAATTTTAAGGAGGTAAGGAACTCTGTAAATATAATGAAGTTTAATGGGACACTGCAATAAATTTGTTAACAATGTAAGTCCTTGAAGGTCTCAGTCAAAAAATTTGCTAGGCCTCTACAATTCTTGTTTCTTTCATATACTGTCGCTAAAGCAAAAAGGTAGGTAATGCCTAATGAATTATTACTATTATAGTGGTACCAATGTACTGGAATCCAAGTTCTTTTTTTATTAGGCTGGCTTCATTCAGAGCCTATGCATCACCTCATCACTGATACCACTTTAGCGAGTTATTAGGTGGCTATTATTTTTAATAATATCATAATAATACACCCCTCACAGCTCCGCAACGGGGAAACCCCATATTGCAGGTTCCATGAACACACACTTAACAACCATATATTACACCCAAACTCCTAACAAATATATTTAATGTAGGCCATACAAATATTTATCCCGGCCTAGACATCGAACCCAGGACCTCTGTGTAGCCACCACCACCACCACTTAACCAGGATGGTAACCTTAGTCTTTCAAATCGAAATATAGATATACTATCCAACCATTGGCCATTCTGACACAATGTAAGACACAACCTAGTTGTTGAACCAAAACAAAATTAAAATAAATATAAAATACACATTAGATTATGCTATATCGCAATGATTATTATATTCAGAATACATAACTACATATCTTTCAGACAGACGGCAGATAACGCAAGAGAACAGTTAAGCCAATATCAAACTTGCTATCAAACTTAGTTTCGAACTAAGCAACTATGTAAACATATGTGCGTAAACAACGTACCTGTCCGGAACTGCCGAAGCAGTTCTCCACCATAGCGATCCGCCGTGCATTGGCCTCACTATTGACTGAAAATTAAAACAATCACTTACAAAATTGCGGCATAAAAGTTGACGTCAAACGAAAGTCGAACAATGACGATTACTAAGTTGACAAACCACATTGCTTCAAAAACTTATACCACTGAAAATATATTATATTATGCAATGCACTACACAAATCAGAATAAACGCCTACCTAAACGATCCACCATTATCGAAATTTATTTTTTCGAAGATGAACGACGATTAAAAAAATGTGTCATTCATGCATGAATAATGATACCAACTACAAACAAACAAAATGTACTAAAAGTGCCAGAAACAAAAACCTATTCATTCTATTGCATTTACATATTTATTTGATCGGTGAAAAAAATAGCTTTATTAAAAAAACACCTTTCTTTTGCTATAGAAATTTAAGTATACAATGTGAGTAATCTATTAATTGATTTACATCGACCGGTGCCCCTGGTGCCAATACTGTTGACATGCTAGAGCTGCATGCAAAGCGCCGCCACTGGCTGTGTAAATATTTATTTTATGTTAATTTAGCGACAATGGGATAATTTGTCGCGCCAGTGACTTCTTACCTCTTAGCCACAGCCGATGTGTAGTGTATGCGACTTGACATGCCTACACACACAGGAAATGAAGCAAACATAACACGACGTAATAAAAGAGACCCAGGATCAACATAGTATATTCGCACTCATATTTAAGATTGCTGTTGAATTGCTTTAATGAAACTGGTCCCAAAAACCATACTGGTCGGAATGAAGACGAAACTTAAACTTGCTTTAAATAGAGCGGATATTAAAAGTATTTGTTATGTGCATACAGTATCAAACAGAGATGAGAAAAAAACCTTTATAAAGTTCAATGTATTATGTAGTTATTGCAGATTTTACTAAAACGAGAATTTTTATCTACAAATGGCAATGTTCAGAATAGTTCCGATCTACGACGTAATACTATGGAACTTATGTTTTTGACTTCGACTATTATACAAATGTAATATTGAAATAAATAACTTTATTTAATAAAGAGTATAAACGGATTTTTCATGAACAAAATTTTGGAGGTAGGTGTAGATAAAAAGCTTTAAAAGTTATATGAAAGTTATTTAAAAAACACTTCTGATGTGGAACGTAACGGTCATACTATAGACAAGGAAAGATCATGTGAGAGATCGTTTTTGACATCAGCTGACAGTTCGGAGTCGATATTTCGTGCAATTTTTGCTCTTGATTTTAGTAAATAAATCCAACAAAATGGTTTTTAAAGTGTGTGGCCCTAAATTGTCGTTGTGCGGGCTCGTCTTGAGTGTGTGGGGAATCATTCAACTGGTGAGTAAAACTTGAAAATTTGAATAGAAATATTCGTGGTCACTACACGGCTGTAAATTATTTTCAGACTTTGATGGGCGTGTTCTACTATATAAGAGCTTTAGCTTTGCTGGAAGACCTACCCCTGCCGGAAGAACACAAAGGTTTTGATCAGTTCATTACAGACGTAGAGGCGGGATATAATCAGGTGAGTCATGTATATATACCACACAAGAACACACTGTTGAGTGGTATATAATTATATAGTCTTTTCTATTAACTCTTAATAAAATCTACGAACTATTTTAAAAATATATAATATTATAAATCTGTTATATTAATGACCTTAAGGTGCTTAAGGTGTCATGGTTGCTTAGACTTTGAAGCATGTGAAATAGGCGCGGAAAAATTGCATGATAGTTAATCATTTATGTTTTAGAAATAACCTTTACTTTCTTACTGTTAAATAAGCTTATAATCCCCTGACACATTTTTACGGAACATTGAAGACAAAATTTAATTAACATTTCTTTGAAACATTCGAATGAAACCGATGTTTTTGTAGATAAATGTAGTAAAAATTTAGTACTACGGGCCTCATTGCTCACTACCAACATAGTCTGTTTTTTTATCAATTAAAAACTGAGTTCAATTCCTACTTTTAATGCCAAATAGCCCATTGTCTGTGTGGTTGAAAAAACCAAAAATTTAGATGTCTTGACATTTATGTCAAAATGTATGAATTTATTTTATTAATTTCCAGAGGTGTTAGGCTGTAATATTAAGGGGCACTGCATCAAAAGATAAGATACCATTAAAATGTTTGTGTGACAGGCAAGCCTAACTCTGTTTGATTTTAAAACACTAAATATATTTTATGCATTTCGTAAAGTTGTCTTTATTCTTATAGCATGTGCCTCATAAATATTGCGGTAATTTTACAAAATGCTTTCTGTATGATGTGACAGTGTAGGTACTTGGTACTTGGTGAAACGGGCTGGTGTCACTGTAGGTATGGTATGTGTTGTTCAGCTTATGTCATATTTATTGTGACATCCACTTAGAGTGAAATATTTTGTTCATAAGCAATCTGGACTCATTTACGAGTATATCAGGGTTTATTAAATGTTTGGTTTGTTCAACTTCAGTTATTTTACAATAATTATTTTCATGGCCTACTTATGAATTACCATATTATTTAGTTATGCTTAATACTAATTATATATGATCATATTTTTCCCTAACATGTTTAGGTTCTAATGACTTTATTTTATAAATAATAAATTGTAAAGAGTTTTGTCCCTATATAAAAACATTTTATTAAATTATTTTTCCTTGTTTAATGAACCTACTGAACCGGAATTTACAAATGACCTTTACCTAGTCATTTTAAGTTATAATTTCACCATACTGATGTACTGTGGTTGCAGATATTTCCAGGTCATATATGATTTAACTGCCTCCGTGGCCGAACGGTTACCATACCAGACTGCCATGCAGAGGTCCCCGGGTTCGATTCCCGGGACGGGAGAAATATTTGTATGGCCTACATTTATTTCTCTCGTGAGTTTGGGTGTAATTTGTGGTTGTCTATATGTGTGTCCATGGCACCCGCGACACGGTGCCATGTGCCTAGTGCGGGGCTATGTTAAGTGTGTGCATTATTATTATTTTTAATTTTACTGCAAATTTTTATGTTGTAAGATTATTTGACAATTTTTTGTTTGCTTTCCAGAATGCATATAACTGCTGGATTGCTGCTCTTCTTTACGTAATCACATTGCTGATCTCCGCTCACCAATTCTATTTGAATAACCGCTCCTCAGTTAGCATGTAAACTTGAAATGTTCATTCCAACAGCTTACCCTTTAAAATTGTTGCTAAATATCGGTATTGGGTATTCATTATTAGAGCTGTAATGACTTGTGTATAAAATGAAATAGAAAACAATGGAGTTGGAGATTAATTTATAATTATATTTATGGAGTTACAACAACTATCCATAATATAGATTTTGATCACATGCTCATAATGCAATACAAATTAAATGCAATAATGGGAGAAACCACTGAAATGTGTCTTATTGGTAAGGCAAAGACACAATATAACTGAAATACAGTTTATACAGTGGTTCAAGCTCTATTGCCAGATATTTTAATGTGACGTTGTTTTAAATGAACTATCTACTACACTCTTATAAAAACTACGAATACTTAGAAATACTACAATTAAAATAAGAGAAAATGTTATAAAGTAGGCATTTATTTTCCTTCACCTAAAATAGAGATTTTGTTAAGTCTTATTTAAAAATCTACCCAATATCATAAAAAATTGTAAAACTTAAATTGTGTGTCTATTAGGTTTATATGCACGAGTATTACTCCAATATATTAATGAAAAGTGTAAATAAAATACAAATATCTGTATAGATACATGGATATGTAGGTTATTGTAAAACTCTTAATTTCTGAATTAAAGATTAATTCATGTTAAAAATTGGTTTAAGTTATTGTATGTGACTTAATAACCAAAATAACCATATTTCGTAATAATTAACTTAAAATTACATTTCATATCTCTAATTTACAACTTATTCGTAACGCAGTTTCCCTGAGAACACTGAGTGAGAAAGTAGGGGTTGTTCTTGGTAAATAGATATTTATTCGCATCGTTTACAAGAATTATTTTAAAAAATATAATAGACAAAGCTGAAAGAGCTAAACATATCACTTTTATGGATTTTTTTTATCCCTGTATAGGTACTGAATCTGTACAATAAAGCGCAGTCCACACCGCGAACGAAGCTAGCTAACTTAGCTCACGTAGTTGCATGCAACCAATTATGCTAGCTAAGCTAGCTTAGCTCGCGTAGTTGCATGCAAAGCTAAGCTAAGAAAGAAAATACGTAGTAAGTAGTGACCATGGTTACGTATGTGGGTGAAGGGCGACATATTTTACATAGCTAGCGGGATCGTTATTTAGTTAGCGTGGTTAGCTTAGTTCGCGGTATGGACCGAAGTATGAATAGATGCCCCGGCTACGTGAGCTAAGCTATTATAATAGCTTAGCTTCGTTCGCAGTGTGGGCTTGACGTTTTGACTTTTAAAGTGAGTATCAATTTAATAGTGAATCCTACTATAATTTGGTGTTTATAGTCATATCTTCAAGTACAACTATATCTACAAACACCCCCGTAACGTAATGTCACGATGCGAATATCCGAATGAATATCAGCATTGATTATGAAATTAAAATATCCGCATATTTTAATTTATGCGGATGTTGATATTCGCGACAACCCTAGTGCACACAATGATGCCTTCTGATTGTCTGTGACACAATGTCTCGAGCTTTGGAAAGGTCATAGAATATCAACCATAGCTCCCTTAGAGGATGGAAAAAAATTAGTCTAAGATAGCTCCACTCGATCGTCTTCCCATCGTCAAATACATTTTACGTCAATTTTATGCCAGTATCCGTTGTTCAGCGACACCGAGTGCAACTAAATGACGATGATGAAAAATGTTGCTGAAAAATGAACACATTGATGATTAAGAAAACTTATGAAATATGATTATAATTGCAAATGTAGTGCACTATGACCGTAATACCGACCGGTTTACCGTATCCTTAACCCGTTAAACATATATATATATATCCTTGTGTGTTTCATATTTTGCTCGAGATTAATAAGTTAATACTGCCTAATATGATCACCAATACAAACAATGCCTATTGGTCATATCAGTATGACATGCTAGCATGACCACCAATAAATGGCCGTTCATGGACAGTTATTTAAAAAGTACCGCACATGAGAATATCACAACTTTGTGCAGTTGATTCAATATAAATGTTCAATGTAAATCATTGTTGTCGTTACGTTGGTGATACTTCTCTATGGAAAAGCAGTAGGCGACAACTACACAGAAATACATTTGGAAATAAGCACGTAGTCGCTCTATGGTCAACGCCGTTACTATTGATGAACTCGTGATATTGAGTGGGACGTATTAAGGTTTAAAACTAAGTGGATTGTTTTCTACTTCTTGTTGCGTATTAGTGCCTTTTTTAGGATTTCGGTATGTAAAAATATTATATAAAAATGATAGAGAATATTCTGTTTTTCTTGTTAAAATATGAAAAAATCCACTTGCCACACTAAAATTGGCATTTGCCAGTTTTCATTTAGGTATTTTTTCTGAAAGTTTTTTTTTTCATTTGGAGTAAATATGTGAAAATAATATGTACTTCTTCTATCGATGACATTTCAATATGACATTATCATTGATTACTATTAATGAGATATATAAATGATCGCCATAATTTTTATAATATTCTTATAAAACTAATACTGGCACAAGCCTAGTAAAGGATATAATAATATTTTAATTTATTATTTTAGCTTTTTAAATCGGTTAATCATGAATTTATTTATGAACTGTGGTGTGTGTTGTATGTGCTTAAGCGTTTGGGCCATACTACAGTTGGTAGGTAATTTGGTACCTCTTTAAAGAGTGGCTTCATATTGGTGACTTCTGTCGATATAAGAAATGGCGGAATATGCGTGGAGTTCAACCCACAGTTTTTGTAACACAGGGGGTCAACCTAAGTTGGAACGTGTTCTATAACATATGAGAAACCTTTAGGCTGTCTAGGTATTTCAGGGAAGAACGCGTAACGCTTAAATAAGTGACTACCGGTTGGCTGCGGTATTCCGGAAAAAAGTTAATACGAAAGTTATTACTTTCCTGACTCACTATTTCGTCGACTGCGTACAAGTGTTCGATACTTAGCTTGCCTACCACGGTGTGCTATGGAGATGATTAATAGAATCACTTGCAATGTGTTTAATACTAAGCACCAGGAAGGAAAGACCCAGATTGCTGCGCCCCCTGACAAAGTACAAAAAAACAAAAATTCAGGAATTATCAATCTGATGACAATCCCTTTCATTGCAACAGTATTTATAGGTACAAATATCAAGTCATTTGCATATTTTCAGAGTTTAATGGGAGTTTTCTACAAAATAGAAAGTGTTGCACTAATTGAAGACGTGCACGCGCTTAAGGATCAATACAATGATTATGAAGAGTTCATGAAGAAAACAAAGGAAAACTACAATACGGTTATATAAATAGGTTTAAACCATAGATATGATAGCTTTTTTTTCTATATCTATGGTTTAAACTATGCAAGAAATCCTACATCATGATTATTTAGGTTTTCACTATACGAGTGCTATCGGACCGAGTGCGCTCCTACGAGTTAGATCGTAAGGGGTCCACTCGGTTTTTGGTTCAGGTACACCTTACGAATTCATCAGCGTTCAAGTAGAATGCTACTTTAACGCTGATGAACTGAAGGAGGAGATACATGTATATCCTTGCACAGTCAAGATGATGACGATTGATCAGCTGTTGCGAGGTATATAAGTTGTAGCACATAATATGTCAATGTCTGAAGTACACGATCATGGTAGGGAAAAAACAACGCAAGAGAAAAATTGGGGCCAGCATGCTGATATTGATTCAAATTGGAATCGAACCGATCGGGTAGCCCATCCGAATATCGAAATCAGATGGGTTTCCAAGCGAGAAGATGAACGTGCAGCTTGATTTTGATTGCCTCTCCCGATCGGAAACTGCGTCTCTTCCGAGTCGAGGCGTATAATATTGCGGATGGGCTACCCAATCGTATTACCCAATAATTCCTACTACATCTTTCTAATTTGTGAGTTAAATCGCCTATTGTTCCGATATGAAATGTCAAAAGTTTTGGATCGGCCAGTAGTGAATCTCAATTATGCACCTCGAATCGGAAGAGACGCAGTTTCCGATCGGGAGAGGCAATCAATATCAAGCTGTATTTGGGTTTCCGAGCGAGAAGATGAACCTGACCCTGTACTCTTGTTCTCCGTCCAACATCCGTCCGAAAAAATTATTGCCAAGTAAGTAATCGACCAAATTAAATGACGCATGATGCAAAGGAAGGTTCATACTTGACATTATCTTTTAATTTGGTCGAGTATTACCAATTTGACGGTAGGTAATTGTTTCGGACGGATGTTGGACGGACAACGCGAGTAGACCTGGTTCCTACTATATCTTTGTAATTTGTGACTTAAATCAACTATTGTTCCGATTTGAAATGTCAACAGTTGCCGATCGGTTGTGAATCGTATAATTTTGCGCCTCGACTCGGAAAAGACGCTGTTTCCGATCGGGAGAGGCAATCAAAATCAAGCTGTTGGACCTGAACTTTTAAGGTCCCACCGCGGGCTTGCTTGCACAGGTTATAACACCATATCTTCCCGCATAATCAAGAGGTTGATATAGAGGGGCACTATAATCAAAAGTTAAGTTAAAAGATATGGGCCTGGTCTTTTATCCGTGACATGGCCATAAAGTTCTTGCCAATGAAATGAACTTTATGATGAGCACCATATGAGTAGAATTTTCGTAAGGAATGGAGGAAATATAGTTTTAGCAACCACTAGCGACTTTAAGTGCGGTAATACACGTCCGATTTCGTGTCTGATGGTCGGATCTGACTATTGGAACAGATTCACTCAATACACGTCCGATAGGCGTCCGATTCTTACGTCAAACTTTTTCTGAACTAACAGCAGTGTTGCCAATTTATGGAGAATTCCCCAAATACAGGGAATTTCAACTCAACAACTCGTTTGGGGATTATGTTTGGATTACGCTATGTGGGGGAAAATGCCCTCGCATTCTAGAATTTTATCATATTTTTGTTACATTGACGATCATTGATAAAAGCATTGTTTATTTATTTGTTAATGAAGTATATTGATATTTTTTTCAACAAAATGGGGAAAATGCCCTTCCCCACACAGCGTAATCCAAACAAAATCCCCAAACGAGTGCTCCAGTGGTTGTGTTGAAATTCCCTACATTTGGGGAATTCCCCTTAAATTGGCAACACTGCAGTTAGTTCAGAAAAAGTCTGATGAAAGGATCGGACACATCAGACGTGTATTAAGTGAATCCGATCCGATAGTCGGGTCTAACCATCAGACACGAAATCGGACGTGTATTCGCGCTTAAGCCTTCAGTCTAGCGACATTTGCTTTAGTCTAGTTGGCAATACTGGTAGCGTCCTCTAGTCATTCGAGTGAATTCGATACGAGCGTACTCGTATAGTGAAACTCCGGCGTTTACTTAATTCTATAAAAGATTGATATAAAGAGCGTGCTGCATCAATGGCGGTGGCATTCGAAAAAAAAAGCAAACGGTTATTGACTTAGATTATCTGACACTGGAGGCGCCATCTACAGGATAAAGTAAAGTAATATAAAAATATAACTATGTTAAAG